CAACCCCCCCCCCCCCCGCGGGGGGGGGGGGGGTGCTCCCACACTGCACTACATTGCACTGCACCACCGCACCACAGCTGCAGCACTCCCATGTGAGGACCCCCAGGGTGAGTTTGTCCTGGTTTGGTCCCGAGGGCAGGCGCTGCAGTTCGGGGCTGTTACCAGCCAGGGAGCAAGGGGTTTGGAGGCTGCACCCCACTGCGAGGGTCTGCTGGGCTCCAGGAGACCTTGCGACTATGGAAGTGGTTGCTTCTGAGTGTCCCTTGCAGCTCTGGGTCCCCAGCTCCTTGGCCAACTCCTAGGTCAATGTCCTGCTGACCCCAGCTCCTCTGGGCACCAGCCAGGGTGAAGTTGGAAGCACAGAGTTGTTGGGGCTGTGGGTTCAGCTAAGGAGGCTGCTGGGGGGTGGCAGTGGGGCACAGAGCCTCCCTGTGGGAGGGTAAGTGTGGTCTCATCCCCGTCCTGAAGCAGGGCTCCAGCGACTGCACAGCCAGCAGGGCAGGGACACACTGTTCAGCACCACAGCCTGGAAAGCCCCTCTCCTGGGCAGTCACTGCAGTCACCAGCTGGCCCCAGGTCGGGGCCTTGGGGCAGGCTGCATTTATCCCTCTGGGACAGGTCCTTCCTCCTGCCTTGGCCTGGTCCCTCTTCAGGGCAGGGAGCAGGTGCAGGGGCCTGTGGTCCGAGACGCTGCCTGTGGTTTCCCCACCACCCGTCCCCACACCCCCAAGGACCAGCCGTGAGCAGTGCATGAAGGTTAAAGTCTGAGGATTTTTATTTCATTCATCAATTTTTGTACAAAGTAAGACTCTGGAGGCTTCATATATTTCTGAATCAAAACACCTTTGTCTTCACAGTATGAGTTTAGGCTGCGCAGCCGGCGCCACGGCCGGCAGAACGGGAGAGAGAATTACAGTCATGACGGCAGGAAAACCTGGTGGACATTGCTGTAGGAGGCTCGTCGCAGACGCTGTCGTTCTTGGCACTGGTTCTGTGGGGAGGAGGCACCTTCGTCCCGAGCAAGCGGAGGTGCAGGTTGGCTTTGGTGACGGGGGCCGGGGCTTCCGGCAGTACCTGGTGCTGCCAGGGGCCAGGTACTATGGTCCTGGACCCTGGCAGCCCAGGGAGAGGGGAGGGCACCTACCTGTTCCCCCTGCCGGAGCAGCTGCACCGCCCTCTTCCCCTCGGCACTGGGTGCTAGTCTCCCGCTGCGGGGCAGCAGGCTGGGCCGGGGCAGGGCAGCTGAGGGACTCATGGGGGACGAGGGAGGCAGAAGGAGCTACACAAACCCGCCCCTTGTCCCCAGCCTGCTGGTTGCAGCAGCCCTGCAAGGCAGGAGACAATGGCTCTCTGGTGCCCAGCCATGTGTCCGGGCAGCTGGTGCCAGCCCCGCTCCCTCCAGGGGCTGCTGGGAGACGGCCTGGGGGCTGCCGCACGGCCATGGAAGCAGTGCGGCCGGTTGGGTTTGTTTTCAGGCCAAGGCAAGTGGGGAAGGAGGAGAAACGGGTTCTGCAGCAGGGGAGCTGCAGCTTCTTGGTGCCTGGGAATCCACCTGGGGATGATCCCGTGCCCAAAGCCGAGGCAGCAGGGCCGGGCGCTTGGGAGACGTTTGCTGCTGGCCTCCCTGAGCTGTGGGGCGCGGGGGGAAACAAGGGGAGCTAAGCTCCAGTGGGACCCACGAATCAGCTGGTTACTAATTGGAAAAAGCTCAAACAAGAGAAAAACCCACAGGGTATGAAAGCTTCTCGGGCGCTTTTCTTTCAGAGAGCGCGGCCCCTTTAATGCGTTGGGGGGCGGGGGGTAAGGGCAGGGGCAGGGGGCAGCAGGCAAGGGCTCCAGCAGTCACTTCACTTCTTCTCCTTCTTCTTATTCTGCAAGAGGAGATGAGGCCGAATCACCCCAGGCCGATCTCAAGCCCCCGAGATGCCCCACACCCCCCCAGGCAGCTCTTCACATCCCCGTAGGCACATCCTGCCTAATGGGTCACCTCTCCCGGGCTGAGCAGGCAGGGACTCACCTCGTTCATGCCCAGGATAATCATGAGCTCGCGAAAGATGTTGACAAAGTCCAGGAAGAGATCCACGCAGTGCCTGGGGAGGGGGAGACGGGGGTCAGGGGGAGACGGGCCTGGCACTGGGCTCCGCATCGCCCCGGCCCCCCCACTCACCAGATGTAGTCCTTGTCCCCGCTCTCGGCCTTCTCAATGATGAGCTGGGTGTCGAAGAGGACGAAGCCGCACATCACCATGAGCCCGACGTACAGGTTAGCCTGGTGGGGAGAGGAGGCAGGGACGGTGTCAGGCCCTGGGGACCAGCTCGATCCCGGCCCCACGCCCAGGGACAGGACTCACCGTGAAGAGCCAGGTGGAACCCACGAAGAGGTTGACCAAGGAGAAGAGAAACATCAGGGACAGCCCGGAGAAGAGGAAGCCTGCGACACGGACATGGTGGTGAGCGAGCCCCGAGGCACCGCCCCCCTCTCCCGCCCGCGGCCCACCCCGCGGCCCCCCTCACCTCCCAGGTACAGGTAGCTGCGGCGCCGGGCGTAGAGCGCGCTCAGCGTGAAGCAGGTGAAGATCACGGCCGTGCCCAGGAAGGCGGTGGGCAGGATGCTGCGGGAGAGGAGCGCGGTGAGCGCGCAGGGCCCGGGGACAGGGTGGGGCGATGGGGAGAGGGGAGGAGGTACAGTCCCGGCCCTGCCAGGCTGCCGCAGACTCCTACCTGGGGTTGATGGCGATGCACATCTCCAGCAGCGGCCCCAGGTTGACACCTGGAAGGACGTGACAGACGTGAGACGGGGCAGCCGCCGGCTCCCCACTCCCGCTGCAGGCACCAAACACCTCCCCTCCCCCCCAGCACCACCCGCGGCCGCAGGGGGCTGCCCGAGGCCCCCCAGGGGATCGGTCCCCCA